TATCACAATGACAGCGTAAGTACAACGTCGTAATCACATTTATAGTGTAATGGGAAAGAGGTGGTGGTATGGTGAGGAATGGAAAGGGAGTAGTAGGGCTCAGGAGGGAGCCACAGTTCTCTGAGAAAACCGTTTTGTATAGTTCTGACTTTTATAAGCACAGTAATTATTTCACCTAGCTGCCTAATACCCCAAACGCCACAAACAAAACGACTAGCACGGGGGGAACCCAAATTGTAATACAAGCAATTTAACAAATGAACTGAACTTCTCCCAAATGGATAGAATAACCACACCAAAAGGAGTAAAGAAAAAAAAAGGACTAACCCAGGTAACTTTGGTCAATAGTATCTTCACTGGATATTATAAAGATTAAGACAAGAAAACTGTACATAAAGGCTATAATTTAGTAAGTACATGTTTTTCTCATAGGAGCATGAGTTAGCAATCCTGAAACTATATTAGAATTAGGTAAATACGTCTATTGTAGATAATGACATCTGGGTTTCTCACTGTTAGACAAAGAAGCTATAAATGAAACAGGAGGGCTAGAATGAACCTTGACTGTTAGGTTGAAATTGGTGGCACCATTATAAACTCACGGTCTTAAATATATATACACACCCAGAGATAGATACAGAAATATAGATGTGTGTGTATAATTAGGTTAGTCTACACACACATATTTCTCAGCTCTGTCCACCGAGAGCACCTAGAAACAACATTCCAGTAGCAATAAGCATGCCTCACACCCAAATCTTAGTTTCTAAACACCTTTCTCCAATAGAAGGAACCAGAGCTTCCTAAGGAAGTCATTAATTCCAGGCCTGGGGCAGGGAAAACACAGATGAGTCTGGAATGCTGTTGGTGCTAGAAAGTTAATGAAGCGCTCAAAAAAGATGGGTTCCTCTGAGGGACACAGAAGCCAAACTGAAGGAACTCTTAGTGGCCAAAGCTGGAACAGCATGAGCAATAAAACTGATAATGATAGTATTGGATTATAAATGAAAGAATAAGACACATCCACGAGTCCATACTGATATACTTAACCAATTGAATAAATAACTAACAAAGCAAAAAAGATGGCCCTTCCTTGCAACAGAATTCCAATGAATAAATGTGGAAGAAAAGAGTGAAATAAAAAATCACTACTAGACATAGTAGTTGTTGCAGTCAAAATCCACTGATGGATACTAAAAATAGTTGGGTGTGAGTTTGGGGAGAAGCAGGATTTTTGCATAATCTCAAAGTATCTGGCTGCAAAATATTTATTAGCCACAAAGTGAAAAATGGTAACTTTATAGTAAACTCTGAAGAGACCACCTTAACCAAGCGATGAAGGTTAACATCACCATTAAGAAGACATGTTGATATTACAAATTCTTTGAAGTGACAATTTATGTGGCATTTTTGCCAAAATGGAATAACCTCATTCTAAGCTTGAGGAAACTTTACATGAACCCAAACTGAGGGATATTCTAAGGAAGAGGTAACCGGGACTCTTCAAAAGGATCAAGGTCATGAAGTAAAGAAAGGCTGAGGAACTGTCACCAATTGGAGGAGACTAAGGGGACATGATCACTAAACGTAATGGGAGATCCTGGATTGGATCCTGAAACAGAAAAAGGGCATTATTGGAAAAACGGGTGAAACTCCAACAAGGTCTATCATTTAGTAAGTAGTGTTATACCAGTGTTAATTTCCTGGTTCTGAACATTGTACAATGGTTATATAAGATGTTCTAATTGGGGGAAACTAGGTGAGGGGGATATGGGAACTCTTTATCCCCCTGTGGTGTTTCTGAAACTTTTCTGCAAGTCCCAAATTAGTTCAAAATTAAAAGTTAAAAAAAGAAAATAATTCTGCAAGTTTAATTAGGTCACTAGAATCATTTATGTCTCTGTGTGTGTGTGTGAGTGAAGTATTTCCAGGAATAACTTCTCAGTGAAATAAAATACTGAATGCTGCTATGTTTCTATCAAAGAAGAGACATTCTGACAAATACTCTCACTCCATTAATTCATTCTAATAAGCATAGTTGTTTTAATATCTAGACTGCAATCTAAAGCTCCAAAACTAAAGTTAGGTTTATTTGTTAATAGACATCATAAGATGTACTTTTTTCCTCTTTGGGGATTTAGGGAAGACCCTGTTGTTTTTGGTTGTTTGTTTGATATATATATACTTTAAGTTCTGGAATACATGTGCAGAACATGCAGGTTTCTTACATAGGTATACATGTGCCATGGTGGTTTGTTGCACCCATCAATCTGTCATCTACATTGGGTGTTTCTCCCAATGCTATCCCTCCCCTAGCCCCCATCCCCGACAGGCCCCGGTGGGTGATGTTCCCCTCCCTGTGTCCATGTGTTTTCATTGTTCAACTCCCTAGGGAAGACCTTCCTGAGGGAAGCCCATTGGCAGTGAGAGGCCAAAGTCTGAGCAGGAGTTAGCTGCAGATAGAGTGGGACAGTGGCATTCTAGCAGAGGGGCTGCCAGTATGAATCTCCAGTAGGAACTTCCAGAGGAACTGCCACTATGAGTGAGATGGGAAACACTTTGGATTGCTCTGGGAAGTAGAAAAAGGCCAGGATAGCAGGAACTAGGTGGTGTGAGATAATGCTGGAGAGACAGACAGGAATTGGCCACACAGGATCTTGTAGAAGAATTGAGAATGATTCCAGGAACAGTAGAAGCCTCTGAAGGGCTTTGAGCAGAGGAGACACATGACCTGAGAAGTCACCGTCTCCCACTCTATCTTAGTGACTTTAAATGCCTGTGTATATTATGCTAACCATGGTTCTTTATCTTTCCTGAGGACAGGATATGGGATAGGCCAACAGGGCAGAGTTTGATAAGCCATAAGGATAAACTTCCCTGTGAAATTCTGTCCCTGGAGGGGTCCAAGAGTGAATGACAGTGTCTCGCACCTGCCTTGAGGGGGCCGCATAGACATTCTGAATTCCGTTACAACTTTATCTGAAATGAAATACCACGATTTCCCTACAAGGTTCATGACATGACGAATTTTTTTTTTTTTCCCTCTTTGGATGTTTTGGTATTTTACAGCCTGATCTGGCACTGAGCTGCGAGATGAAATTTTTTAAAAGTTCAAAAAATGAGAGCATTAAAGCATTAATCTACCTGAGAGTAGTAAAGTGATAGAACTCTTAGTAAGCCCATGTTGTACAGAAGACATTGTAGTTAAACCTTCAATTAAGAGCAGGTAGTATCCAGGTAACTACATACAGCTTCTAAGGAGGTCTTCCCAGCAGTCCTTAGACCTTAGCCCGAAGACCCAGGAGAGGACAGGAACACCCTAAGAAGAGCTAAGAAAGTATCCAGGTCTCTTGGGTCAGAAAAGCGTTCTTATTGTTTCTTTTGCGAATTTTGTTTTGAAGTCAAGAATATTACTACCTGGTAATGTCAGCACCCAACGATTTTATTTCTCTTTCTCTCTTTCTTTGTTCCCCCGTCCCCTCAACAAAGACAGGGTCTCACCCTTGCCCAGACTGGACTGCAGTGGTGTGATCATAACTCACTTCAGTTTGGAACTCCTGGGCACACGGAGTAGCTAGGACTACAGGTGTTTGCCACCATGTCTGGCTAGTTTTTTATTTTTATTTTTTTAATTTTTAGTATAGACAGGGGTCTCCCTATGTTGCCCAGGCTGGTCTGAAACTCCTGGCCTCAAGCAATCCTCCCACCTATGCCTCTGTCTCCCAAAGTATTAGGATTACAGGTGTGAGCAACGGCGCCCAGCCTTCTCTCTTCGATTAAAAATAAAAACAAATTTCTGTTAGTTGAAGGCTCAATATTTGCCCGTCAGTAGTTTCTTCCCATTCAGCTTACCCACGAATATTAAAAGGCAAAATAACTATAACTTCTGATAAATTTAGAAGATAAAATATTTTATGTATAATAGCTATCACTGAAAATCTCTTCAAGATCTGTGTGCATACTTTTCTTACCGTTGTAACTATATTGAACTTAACTTCTTCTTTAACTACCAAGGACTCCAGATTCACCGTCAACTTTCTTCCCGCATTCACTCTCACTGTTCAGTTCTGGGTTAAAAGACAGCGGGGCCTGAACCAAGTGTCTACAAAGCACAGTATCTGGAGAAACTTTGTTGTTGTTTTTTAAAATAACTTTTTAAAAAAAGGATCCCAGATATCTTCTTTTTTGTTTTTCTGTTTTTTTAAAAAAAATCTTTTTCTCATATATGAGAAATACAGGGAAAAAAGCAATCAGGTGAATCATTCTGGTTTACTGGATTCCAACTGGTAGAGAGTTTAAACTTAAAAACCAAACAAAACGAAAGAGCTCTTCAGTTACCTTACGTCGTAAACGAGTTAAAACTTTTGTTATTTCTGAAAAATCAAAGAGCACTGTCTGTACATGGTCATAACTGCAAAGGAAACAACGGCGTACCCAGGGCAGGGGGAGCTTACTTTAAGAAGCTGCGTCTTTCTGGATCCCGTTCCTTTGGGGCTGACCCTTTCAGGGAGTTTGGTTTTTAAAGCGCGGAACTCGCGACGCGCGGCTTGCAGGACCGCGGGGCCCGGCGGCCGAGACGCGGAATTCACAGGGGCGCCTCGGCGCGGCCGCGGCGGTGGTGGCGGGAGCCTGGGACGTGCGGGCTAGGAGCCCCGCATGGTTACCGTCCCCGACGGCAAGTTAAAGGCTGTGGGCACCGCGCAGAGCGCCACCGAACGAACTCCCCCCACCCCACCTCAATCCTCCAGACCGAAAGTGCGGAACGCGGGGTCCTGCAAACTTGACCCCGAGCCAGGGTGCGCGCGGCGGCGGCGAGTGTCCCCCGGGCTTCCCGCACCCCCGGGCTGGAAGCGCCGGCCCCCGCGCACCTCGTACTCCGCCTGCACGAAAGCGAAACCCGGCCGGCGAGCGGGAGGGAAGAACTCGGTCGCGCGCTCTGCCCGGTGGGGCCCCGGCCGGGAGACATCCCCGACCCGCACCTGGCGGCGCGACCCACCTACCTGCCCGTCCCCACGGCGCCGCCAGAAGCAGCAGCAGCAGCGGCGGCACCAGCGGCCGCAGGGCCGGGCTGCTGGGAGCCCGCATGGGCGGCGGGGCTGGGTCACATGTCGGGGGGCAGCAGACTGCTCCGTCCCATGCCCGCTGGAGCCAAGCGCGTCGGCGCGGCGCCTCCTTCTCTCCCGAAGCTCTGCGCGCGACGCTTCAGGCGACCCGAGGCCCAGGACCGAGACGCCGCGGCCGCGTCCGCGTTCCCCGGGCTTCCGCAGGAACCAGGGGCGAGCGACTCGCGCAGCCCCCACGCGCGCGACCCCGACTACCCAGCTGGATGGCAGCGCGAGGGCAGTTCTCGGGGATTTATAGTCCCCAGCCACTCGACTGTCTGTCCTGAGACACTGAAAGTTTCCACCTCTCCGGGCTCATGCCCAGACCAACCGAGTCACTAGGCAGGTAAAACCTTCTGGTAATGAGCGAGGTGAGCGCATTGCAAAGAGATTCTGGTATTTAGGCCGGTCTGATGGTCACTTAAAGTTCAATACCGGAAGACGGATGAAATGGAGAGTTATTTCTCAATATACAGTTAGGCACTCAGCCGTAGATCTTACAGTCATGCATCATTTAAGATGACAGGATTACCTCCTGAGAAATGCGTCTTAGGCGAGTTTCTTGTGTGGACATCTTAGAGTGTACTTACACACACCTATATGGTATAGCCTCTTACACGCCTAGGCTCTATGGTATAGGCTGTTGTTGCTCCTAGGCTACAAACCTGTACAGCAAGTGACTATGCTGAATACTGCAGGCAGTTGTAACACAATGGTAAATATTTGTGTATCTAAACATGTCTGAACGTAGAAAAGGTACAGCAAAAGTACAGTATAGGGCACTTTCCATGAATGGAGCTTGCAGGACTGGAAGTCGTTCTGGCTGAGTCGGTGAGTGGTGAGTGAATGTGAACGCCTAGGACATCGCAGTGTAGTACTATAGGCTGTATAAACACTGTATTACACTTAGGCTACGCTAAATTTATTAAAAATTATTCCTTCAATAACAATAAATTAACCTTAGCTTACTATGATTTTTTACTTTCTACTTTTAAATCTTTTAAACTTTATTTATTTATTTATTTATTTATTTGTTTATTTTTGAGACGGAGCCTTGCTCTGTAGCCCAGGCCGGAGTGCAGTGCGGGGATCTCGGCTCACTGCAACCTCTACCTTCCCATTCTGATGATTCTCCTGCCTCAGCCTCCAGAGTAGCTGGGATTACATGTGTGTGCCCCCATGCCTGGCTTTTTTTTTTTTTTGTATTTTTAGTAGAGACTGGGTTTCGCCACGTTGGCCAGGCTGGTCTCGAGCTCCTGACCTCAGGTGATCTACCCAACTTGGCCTCCCAAAGTGCTGGCATTACAGATGTGAACCACCACACCCGACCTAAACTTTTTGACCTGTAATAACGTTTAACTTAAAACCCAAACACATTGTGCAGCAGTATGAAAATATTTTTTCTTTGTGTTCTTTCTGTAAGCTTTTTCTATTTTTCTTTTTCTTTTTCTTTTTTTTTTTGTTATAAACTAAGGCACAACCACACACATTAGCCTAGGCCTGCACAGGGTCAGGACTGTCAGTGCTACTGATACCACCTCCACATCCTGTCCTCCTGGAAGGTCTTTAGAGACAATAGGAATGTTTCAGCTCCATTATAATCTTATGGGACCACCTTTGTATATGCAGTCTGTCATTGACCGAATTTGATTTCATTCAACTCTCACAACCTAAAATTAGGTCCTGGCCCAGTTTTCAGATGAGGCAAGGGAAACTCAGAAAGTCTAGGAATCAGCGTGAAGTCCCCGAAACCTGTGAGTGGCCTGTGACCAGTGGTGTGTGGACTTCCACACAAGGCGGTGTGTTCTACGTTCCATGCTCTTCATAATGGGAGCGGGGAAGAGTGCAATTAAGAAGTAAGTCTTGAAATACTATATGAAACATCCGAGAGAGGCTTGCAGCTTTGTACCTTTCTAGGTGGTTCTAAAGGTTGGGTGCAGCCTGTAGAGAGATACACAATTTACCTCGGATGTGTTCCATCTCTTTTGCCCTTAAATGCCTGTTTTCAAATGCTCCAATGATACTCCAATTAGAGCAACTATTGTTTTCTTTTTCTTTTCTTTTTTTCTTTTTAAAAGTGGTCTTCAGTATTTAAAAAAGATCTTTTTTGGTGAGGCGGGAATAAGGAGATAGAGGATGGGGCATGATTTTCTGAGTTGCCTAAATATGCTACTTTCTCCTCCCTGAAAGACTTAGAAACAGAGGAGGAATCTGGGTCAGAGGGCCCCTTAGGCTGAGATGTTAGCTTCGTGGTGCTGACGTGAGGCCTCTTCAAACTACTTTTCTTGTTTGTTAGCTGGTTCTTTTCCTTTCCACCAAAAGGGGCCCTGAAGGAATCCTGAAAGGTGGACGAGGAAAGAAGGAACTTGCTTCCTATTTATTTGCTGTTCTTGTCACTAAGGCCCCACAGTGCCTCTTTACCCTGGCAAGGACAGCTAGTTCCAGGAGCAATTGTTTCTAGTTCCCAGCTCCTTCCTGTACTCCCAGAATCAGCTTCACTGCATCTCCTGAGAAATAACAGCACTGAGTAGGCTGTGCCCCATTCTCAAAGGTCTGAGTCCCAGTTTCGTGGAGGCTTTGCTTCTAGGATCTAAACCCCATGTCTGCTTCTAGGATCTAAACCCCATGGTGGTAGTTGCTTCTAGTGGTCACTCTGTCTCTTTCAATCTCAGTATCCCCTTTTTACTTTTTTAGTACTCCAACATTTGTTTAACCAATTCCTTACAGCAGATTCTTTCTGTTGAAATGACTAGTGTGGTTTCTGTCTTCCCAACTGGACTCTTATTGATTCCATTGTAATCCCAGAACATTTTAGGAAGGACTCTGTGTGATCAGTACATTATCAATATTATCTTGAGTTGCTGTTGTTCTTACTTTTTAATTATACATTGTATTAGTTTAGTTTCATCATTATTATCTTAAGTCTTGTGGGTTAAATAGGGTAAATGTTTGCTACAAAAGTGTTTGGGGCCAATCATTTTTAGATATCTAAACTTTTTTATACATTTCTGTTCAAATATGAATCGATCAGATCCTTCAAGAGGCTAAAGCAGACTTGTACAAAGCCTTCCCTTACCTCCTAAGCGTTCTGAACTTGCACAGTGACGTTTCACTATTCCACCAAGCTTTTCGTCCAGCCGGGAAGTGGGAATGGGGTAGGCTATGGGGTAACTGCGAATTGGAGTTTCTCCCCTCATGAGTGGGCTGTCACTTGTTTGAGAACCAACAGTTTTCTGCATGCCTCTTGTCCCCTCTCTCCTTTCCTCTTCAAGTTCCCCTTGGCACTTGTCAGAGGCAGTCAAAATTTGACCTCTAAGGCTTGTCTTTTACATATTCACAGACTCACCACTCTGTCCTCAGAATGCCTAAGGGTTCTGCAGGATGAGTGTGACCTGAGAACTTGCCATGTATGCAGTTGATGTTTCCCATGGATTGAAATAAAGAAAGGAGTAATAGTTTTTCTTTTGTTTGCATCTGTGACCCAGAACTCACCTTAGCGGGTTTCCTTAGTACCTTTGCATCTAACCTCTTACCCACCTCTGTTAACTTTGGGAATTAGCAGTCCTGGTTCCTCCCCATCTAAGCCTTCCCAGGCAATGTAATCTTTAGTGTGTCCTTCAGAGATTTTTGAAATGATGTTTTTGAATTGAGGTTTTCTTCTACTTCTCAACTTTACAACTCCTCTTGTCATGATTTACCACATTGAGATCTTAATTTTGTGGAACCTGATGTATAGGATTTCCAAGCTTCCTGATCAAAAAGGCCATAAACCACTACTCCTTACCTCCCACCCCAAACACTAATACCATAGACAAAAAATAATTTTTTTCTATCCTAGTTTAATTCCTAAATGGTTTCCAAGGATAACACATACTAATAATATGAAGTTACTGAATTCTTTCTTTGAGTCAGATCCTACCTAAGAAATTTAAATTTACTAACTACCTCCTTCAATCCTGACAACAATTCTGAGAGTTAGTCACATTACCCCAAGTTTCAAAACAAGGAGACAGACTTGGACAGGTCATTCCTTTAATAAGCAACAGAAACTGGAAACTGAATGCTGGTTCATCTATTTTCAAAGTTTGTGCTTTTAATAATTTCCTTATATGCCTCTTACACTTGAGAAAATGTTATGATTTAGCTTTTATAATTAGGTCTATAATACATTGAGCTAATTTTTGTATATGAGAAAAGAGTCAAGATTGATTTTTTTCATATAGATATCTTACTGTTTTTTGAGGTCTGAACTGTAAAACAGCATGAATATAATTGCCAAAGGCCTGATATCCAGCGTATGTAATGAATTGCTTCAAACAAATTAAAAACAAAATAAAAAGACAATCTAATATTGAGTTTATATAGGTTACATACCAGTTAGTTGCCACTGTCTTCTTCTGAGAGAGGAAGAAAAACCCTAGCTCCCTAATGTCAACACATTTCTTGGAAAGTAAATTAATTCTCTCAGGAAGGCAAAGGGGAAAGTACCTACCCTGGAATATAAACATTTGGCTATGGTGGGGAGATAAATTTTATTACCCTTTCAATGAGACTAGATGGCTCCAGGTCTAACACCCTTGCAATGTGACGAGCAAATGACCCTGTGGAAGAGGAGACAGTCTATGGCATAAGCCATCCAGAAACGTGAACATATCTGTGCTTCCCTGCTGTCTCATTATTTGAATATACTCCATTTGATTGCCCATTCTCCAGTTGATAGACATTTGGGTTGTTTCATTATTGAGTTGTAGGTGTCCTTTACGTATTCTGGGTACAAGTTCTTTGTCAGATATGTGTGTTGCGAATATTTTTGCCCACTTCATCACTTGCCTTTTCATTTTTACAATGATGTCTGCAAGAACAAAAGTTTTTAATATTGATATAATCAAGTTTTTCATTTTTTTCTTCATGATTGTGGCGTCTCATGTAAGAAGTCTTTGTGTATCCGAAGGTTGAAAGATAGTTTTTCCTAGAAATGTAGTTTTAGCTTTTATAATTAGGTCTACAATACATTGAGCTAATTTTTGTATATAGTATGAGAAAAGATTAGAGATTATTTTCTTTCCAAATAGATGTCTTACTGTGTTTGTACTATTTGTTAAAAAGACTCATTCCACATTAAATTGCTTTAGCCATTATTGTTGAAAGTCAATTGAAGATATATGTATTGGATCTTTTTTAGATGTCTACTCTTTGGTCTCTTTGTCCATTTTGCACCAATACCATGTTTTAACAAAAGGAACTTTTTAGTTTTTATTTTTGTACTTGTATACTGAAAAGTTTCAAAGGCAGTAGTGCAGAGTTGCTGTACAATCCTCACACAGTTGCATCACCATTGTTCATTTCTAAAACTAAGAAACTTCCATTTCCAT